TCCTATGGATATAGTATTTGTATATTTGCTATTTTGTTCTCTAACGTTCTTTAATTCTTGTATGCACGCGTTTGTACCGGACCTGATTTTAAAATATTTTAAGTATTATTTTTCATGACTTGTCTCTGCTTTCGTGCTCAACAATAAGATGCTCGCCAGTTTTACCTCTTCACGGCTGCATGGGATCGTCGTCAGCAGTTCGACTTCCACCTTTTTTTCGGCTTTGTGACGCATGGTCATTCCCCTTTCTCTCAACTTAGACCTCTAATTTACTGGTTCAGACTTCTCTACTGTCCCTTTTGAGCCTCTTTGCAAGAGCAGGAAACGCTGCTCTTTGTGCGATATATCGTCGATACTAGTTCGGATACCTCAAGGATAAAGTGACCATATTTTAACATTGGTAAAGCGGGACACCATTAACCGGGGGGGGGAATCTTGATTAAAAAGTTGGTCTGTATGGAGCAACATAAATTTTCTTAGAACGCAAAAATATTGTAAGTTTTTTTTAAAATTTCAACATAATTTACAAATACATTAAAAAATTACGAATAGTATTATTTTCTTCTTTGGTATATTTCTCATTTGAGTGGATTCTTTTAGTAGATTGATGTCGTTTTTTGTTGAATAACTTTTGGACAACTTGTGATGTACAAGATGTAAAGGAATGATTGTGATTATTAGCAAGAAAATACATAAGTCCTTCTGCTAATGCTAATTTCTTTTCTTCGTCTCCATAAATTGTTTTCCGAAAGAGTTCCTGCATTTTGGAGGACGATGTAGTAGTATTTAAATATCGTTTATGTTTCTGTGTCTACGAGTGCTTTGAAATATCATTCTTCCAGCTGGGTGAAATAGAAAATTCGCCATTACATTTCTCACATTTTACCATGTAATAGCTTTTGGTTTTTTTAGCAAAAGGAAATTCACTTCTTAGATCATCTTTTAATTTGCATTTTCTCATTACGTTAAAAACTCATTACGTTAAAAATCATTACGTTATTTAAATCATTACGTTAAAAATCTAAAGAAGTAGTTTATTATAAATTTATCAATTATAATGTTATATATAATCAATATATATTTTTGATCTATATATATTGCTTAAAATCACAGTAAGTAGGTACATAATTACATGAAGATATTTTATTGTTAGTTTAAAAGTTAAATTAATTTGTTTGTTATAAAGTAATTATATTTTAAAAGTTATTTTAATTTGAATCCTATATTCCCTTCTAAATAAGAACAGTACTAACTTGTATTGTTTTCCTCCTGAATTTGCCGTAACGTAAGTCGTAAGCGTCACTTTCAAGGCCGACGCTAGACCTTTAGCCGCCATTATAAAATATAAATAATAAGAGTACCGTCTGCTAAATTCAAGAAAATGTATGTATTTATGAAATAAATAAATAATTTACGTACCTAAATTATCTGAATAGCTGATTTGTTGACATCATTGGTTTAACAAGCACTAGCACACAGTGCGATGTGTATCGTCTGAGAGACAGTTACAAAATGTTTTTCGTCATTGCCAATGCCAAACAATGGTGGTCGAATTCTAACAACTGATCAACAATTCGAACTTTAATAAGCAGTTCTTGATAATCAGTCGTCAATAATTATTTGTTATTATTAAAATTTAACGTTATAAAATTAACAAAAATAATATAATACTGATATCCTGGCGAAGTAGCCACATGGCCCCCGAAAACCGCATTCCCCCGTCGTTCCCTAGCTTGTCGTGCATTCTTTCCAAAAATCGGGATTTTTTTAAAACGCCGCGAGACAAATTGTTAAAAATCGGGACTGTCCCGCCAAAAGCTGTCACCTTGCTCAAGGAGCGCTTGCAACAACAACGAAATAAAATGACAACCTAATTGTTATACACTCATGTCCATAAATTAAGGATAATTCGGAGTCACGCGGAAATCGAACTCAAAAATAAATATATCACCTGTAAAATCACTACTCACATCTTCAAGAATCATATCAAATTTCAGGAAGTAACCAGATGACACCGATGGTACGTCAACGACAAGAGTGTAAGAGAGTGATATATAAGGAATACAGGCAAAGAAGTAAAATTGTTCGCAGGCGCTTTATAAGCATTTCATTGCAATAACCGAATAGTTATGACACAAAGGACGCATTTGGATGATTTTTTTTACGTGGTAGAATTATCGGCCGTCTGGAATGTGGGCGTACCCAACTGGAAGTATCAGACGAACTTGGCAACTTGGCCCAGAGTGTAATCTCCAGGCTTTGGCAAAGATTCCAAGATGATAGTAATGTGAGTAGACGTTCCAGCACAGGTCGCCCCAGAGTTACAACGCCGAATGAGGACCGGTATTTGGCAGTTACTGCCAAAAGAAACAGGCAGAGCACAGCCTCAGACCTGTCTCGTCAGCTCTCTTCAGCCACTGGTACGACAATTTCAAAGCAGACCGTGTACAGACGCTTAGGACAGATTGGTCTATATGGTCGTAGACCTGTCAGATGCGTTCCACTTACTGCAACCCACTTTCGCCTGCGGTTAGCCTGGAGTAGAGAGCATGCATTGTGGACACCGCAACAGTGGGCTTGTGTGATGTTTTCCGACGAGTCTAGGTTTAGCTTGCAATCTGATTGTCGCCGGACTTTCATATGGAGAGCTCCAGGTACCCGTTACCACCAAGAAAACATCATTGAACGACACCGTTACGGTGGTGCAGGAGTGCTCGTTTGGGGTGGAATTATTCTGGGTTCCAGAACTGACCTGCATGTTCAAATTGGAACCATGACAAGCCAAATCTATCGGGAACGTCATTCTGGAACAACATGTACGTTTCTTTCGGGGCGCCATGGGCGCACAATTTGTGTTTATGGATGACAGCGCCCGTCCTCAACGTGCAAACATCGTAAGCGAATGCCTTCAATCGGAGGATATCACCCGTATGGACTGGCGAGCATTATCACCGGACTTTAATCCAGTAGAGCACGTGTGGGACATGCTTGACCGACGAGTTGCAGCCCGTCAACCTCCTTCTACATGTCTGCCGGAACTTCGGAGAACATTGCGTTTTGAGTGGTGTAGTATCCCCCAAGATCAGATCGATAATTTGATACTCAGCATGCCTAGGCGTTGTACGTACTGTATTGCATCGTCTGGGAGACATACAATGTATTAATAATCATACCAACCATGTAATATTGGTTTTTTTATAAATAGTTTTTTTTTTTTTTTTTTTTTTTTTTTTTTTTTTTTGTAATTTGCTCCAGGGAGAAAAAAAAATCGCTAATTTTTTTAATAATATCAAACATATAGCATCTTTTTTTGCTCTTTACCTTTTGTTTAATAAATAAGCTTTACAAATAAGTCAAATTTCTTTTGCTTCTAACTCTTCCTTTGCCTGATTTTGCATTATCCTTAATTTATGGACATGAGTGTACCTCGCTGATAGTTAAATCCATATGCCTTAACTCAGCTAAGATGCCTAAGTAATCTAAACATCTCTCGCGGTGGTAGCAAAACCCGATGCTGTAACCCATCCAAAAATCTAAAGAAGATGCTGCTAGTGAAGGAGATCCTGTATAGATCCTCAACATCCTTTTACTGACAGCGGAGCGGAGCTTCTTTCTCCCGGCCATTTCTCCAGACGGACCTGTAAACCTCTTTCCGGCACTCATCAGTTCCCAACCCGGTACCTTATCTACATAGATATCTACTCCAGCAGACTGAAACTTCGTAGACTCACACACCGGGACCAAGGTGCTTTCCTTTCCCGGCGACATCCATTCGTCATTTGGTCCATCAGTTGAGATCAGTTCTTCAGTTAAGTAAATAATAGCTTCCGTTGAAGAGTCATAACAAAAAGAAATAACTTTGATGTAAATTAGTTGTTGTTATTTGATTCCTGAAACCAACATTCTTGCTAACTACGTTGTCACCGTCATGCATAACTGAATTTTCTAGAACTCAACGCCAGTGGTATAATTGGTACATTTTATTAAAGTTAATAAGGTGTTTAGAGAGTTTCAAGAATCACTACAAAACAATATCCAGCTGCGTGAGTAATTCTTCAAATTCAGTGTTGAATTTCTTCTTTTCAAAGAATTAATTTGAAAAGCTGTTTCTTCTTTTCAAAGAATTAACTTGAAAAGCAATATTATTAAATTTTGAACTTTCAATATAATACGCAAAATAATTAATAGCTCAACTGCATTATTATTAAGTGTTAGAACCTCAAAATCTTCAAAAAATTGTGATTTCGGATTTTTGAATTTTCAAATTCTCTACATTTTTATCTTTCTAAAAATACCATTCTTTAATCTCTATGAAAATTAGAACTGTAAAAAAATCTAGTTTTAATTTGTCATCCACTGCTTTGATCAATGAGGATTTTTACATAAAAACGCATTTTTCTCCAAACGTGATTTTTGTGTACTCGATGTACCTTTTCTCAGGAACTACTGCTCACAGGTACCTAAACTTTTTATGGCTTATTTATTAGGTTCCCTAATATTTACTGAAATGAGCTTTTTGTAATAAACTTTGAAAAAAAATTCTTTAAATTTTTTTGTGTGAGAAAAGTGCTAAATTTTACTATGCCTAACAAAATATTCTGTAATTTACTCCAAAATTCAAAATGATTCAAAAGCTCATTTCAGTATAATCAGATAGGTATACTTTGATTACAGAAAAAATTTCAAGCTTGTATCTACAGCGCATTTTGAGAAAAGGTACATCGAAAATGGCCAATTTAACATTGTTGGTATAGGGGTTTCTGATACCACTTAAGAAAAACATAATCTCAAGCGAAATTTAAGGGATGCGTTGATTGCTGAAATTCAACAAATCTAATCTATGCCAAGGCCACTGAGCGCTACAGCACGTGATCCGTTAGAGGAAAGTTTGATACGCAAATTTATCATCCCCCTTTTTTTTATTATTTTTTCATTTTCATACTGCATTTGAGATAATGACGTTCACTGGAGAGCGCCTTTAAGTTATTCTCTCATTACAGGTGCTTAGATTCTCCTGCGCTTTTGCAGCAAAATGACATTCAAACCTTTGCCCTTCGTATTAAAAACTTTGACACCAGAGATGGAGAAAAAAGCGACTTTAGAACTCGGAGAGACTCCTGAAGTAAAACAAAATTCACTAGAAGAATTGAAGAGGCTCATTAGAAGTAAATACATTTTGAATTTTTCGTTACTTTTATTGTTACATATACTTACCTGTCAATAATCACTTTATTTGTTTTTGTTATTCAATCAGATACTAAATCTCAGTTCAATTACAATCATATTTTTAAACACTTCAAGCTCGAAAAAGAATTTGAACGAACCGTATAAATGCCATACGAACTGTGTAGATGTCATTCAAATTTGTGCCGTTATTGACTCCTCTTACGCATAATCGTATAACGCATTTTCTATGTAAGACGGAAAAAAAAAACGAATCGATTTTCTTACACAGTAATGTTAACGGAAGATCAGTTTTTAAACTTGCGTTGTTAAGTTTACTATCACATTATGTAATTGTATTAATATCAAATAGTTATCTAAATTGAAATTAAAATTATTTTCTTTTACACTATCAAAGCCTAAATGAAGTTCGCTTTGGATCTTCTTGTGAATCATTTAATTTTTAAAACTCTAGTCTTCCAAAATATTTTAGTTTATAATTCTTTATTTTACTCCAGCAAAACGACGAATAAAATGAAATCAATAAATATTTTATATTATATTAAATAATTAAATATTATCACCACCTGAATTTAGCGACAGAATCTCCTCCCTCCCATTCGACTTTTGAGTGAAAGAGAATATAGGGTATTTTCTCCTTTACTTTAACTAATTTGCAGTCTTGTGAAAGTTGACGAAAGCAGAAGTTAAAGTAAAGCTCATTAAATATATATTATGCTGCATATTTTGCTGTGCAATCATTTCAAAATATCTCGTAATATGTAGGGTACTTGAAAATTGCGAAGCAAAACTTTATTGAGTGAATGTTAAAAAAAAAACGTAGTTCAATTTATGCAATAATCTCATGCCACCTTTCAGTTTGTGATGTCACATTGTAACGTTTTCCACGTCAATGCTTCTGGAGGTGGCAACAATAATCATGCCATTTTAGGCTTCATCTTTTCTTCTGCGAGAGTTCACGATCAGAGCATCGAAAATCGTACCATTTCTTTATATTGTGGAAAAAATTCTTTGTTCAAATACATACCCCTCCAGAAAAGAACGCATCATATATTAAAATTGAATTTTGTGAGTACTACACTTGCTTGGCATTAAATTTGATGGTCTTCTTGGGCCATCGAGTGTTTATAAGCATGAAAACCCTTCCTCTGTCCACCTAAGAGGCAGAAATTAAAAAGTGAATTTCGTATACTTTAAATAATTCCGAAGAACGAATTCCACACGAAACAAGGAAAATTGAAAAAGGCTGAAAAACGCGACTGGGGATATTAGTACCGGCTGGAAACAAAGTCCCGAACTCCGTTCGGCAGATAGCCATAAATGTCAATTTTTCTACATATGGCTCAACTTTCTCCTCCGTGATGAAAGTCACGTTTTCAAAGAATCCATGCTATTTAAATTTGTTCGCGTCTGCCTGTCTGTTTGTTTATGACATCATCTCCCACGGAACGGCAGGGAGTTGAGAGTCTTGAGAGAGGTACCCCGGTTTCCTGAAAATGTCTGGGAAGCCATTTCGACCATTCTCATCTTCGTACGACTTTAATCAGCCGAGATATTAATTAAAAACTCTGAAAACGCTAATTTTCGCACTCATTTTTCCGAGTGGCAACAGTCTCTGCGCGCTGGATATAAAAATGCTTTATTTCGAAGAGCGTTGCCAATGCTCGCTTTCAAATCGTAGAGGTTTGTTAATCAAAAATCTGTAAGTTTTACAAAATATGGAAAAAAAAAAAAAAAATCTGAAATGTTTCAGATTTTAAATTACGTCCAAAGGGGCGTTTTTTAACATTTTGTGTGTTACCTTTCTTTATTAAATATCATGTTCCTCGCACTTAAACCATAAGATCCAGTGCAACAGCAATATCGCAAAATAGTTTTTAAAACGAGCATATCTTTAGAATTTCCGCTACAGACACTCACGCGCTGGAGATAAAAATGTTTTTTTCTGCACAACGTTTGCCATTGCTCGCTTTGAAATCCTTGAGTTTGTTAATCAAAAATTCGTCAAAGTTTTAAAAATAGGAAATCGATCATAAAACAAATTTCATTCAAATTTCAAATTGGGTCTTCCACATGCTCATATTCGTTGGAGGATTACGTTATTCAAAATTCGATGACTCTATGTACCGTTGTTTTATCACAATACGAGAAATATACATACATTTATGCAGATTTTTCATTATTTAATTTCTTCAAATATAATGCAGGACTCTAACATTTTGTGGCAACAGTTTGAAAAGTGAACCGACATTTATGAGTCCGACGCAAAATGCCAAAACGAAACTAATAGTCCTTCGGGATTCAAATCCCTTTGGACTAATAAAATTACAATTGCCAAATATTAAACGTATTATTATTATATACGAACATATTCTGACGTTGAAGAGAGCACACGATTGCATGTGACGTCATTGTATGTCGACAATATTTCGTTAATGTGAGCAATTCAAATAAATAGCTGATGTTGGCAACTTTCAAGTTAGGATAATTGACACGATATGCTATTGCCACGTTAATTCTTTTATTGTGTAAGATTCTATCCTGTGTACTTTTAAGTTACAGTTGAAGTTGAAGAATCTTAAGAACTGATCAGCGAATAATCGCTTGAATTCGTGAGATAGAGACAACACGTAAGAAGGGTGAAATTACCCTTTATTATTCCAATAAGGTTTAAGAGAACTGTGACTTGGAGTTTTACAATAAAGCCGCCACTCGGGCTTGAACTTGGGAAAGAACTAACTAAAAAGATACAGCTGAAGCTATCAAGATTCTAACCGAGTTGGTCCCTTAAAGCTGAATAACGGCAAAGTTATCAAGAGCCTAAAGTACGGCCGAGCGTAATAATAGCTTAAGAGAGAGTAGCCTAAAAAAGGCGGACGCGTGCTAGCCAGAATCACTGGTTCTCTCTCACGAAGTCAGTAGAACTTCATGGTTAAATACTTCTCCTCATTTGCTCAAAATTTAACTGTTAAGGGGGCTCATACACCTTAAACCCCTTATGATCTTCGAATATGTGACTGTTGCAAGAATTTGGGTATTTTATTTATTTAAAAGCAATTACTTCCAACTTTTTACAGCTGACTGCATAATATAGCTGCTTTGGGAACTAGTAACCAGAAAGTTAGTGTTGCCACAAATATTTTTGTAATTTAATCCACTTTGTGACAAAATTTTTTGTCATGTTCCCACCTTGCGCGCATGATATTTTAAAAATGGCTAATGGTACATACTTGAAATTTGATGAAATTCTTTATATGGGCACTATTTTCTAACTGAACCAAAAAACTGATGAATATTTTAATATTAAAAAATTTATGCACGAAAACATTACAGACGTTTTTAATAAAATACGTTTGATAAACTCAACTCCAAACAAAATAAAAACTTAATATGAAATTCTTAGAATTTTTGGTTCACAGTAGTTTCCAAATGTTATAAATGCTGTATATTATATATGGAACTAAATTATGCGACAGAATGTTTTAAACTGTGCGCGCAAAGTGAAAACATGAGGAAAACTTTTGTCACAAAGCGGATTAAATTATAGAAATATTTGTGGCAACACAAACTTTCTGATTACTATTTCACAAAGCAGCCATATTATGTAGTCAGCTGTAAAAAGTTGGAAGTAATTGCTTTTAAAATAAATAAGTTATCCTAATACTTGCAACAGTCACATATTCGAAGATTTTATGGGTTTTAAGGTGTATGAGACCCTTAAAGAAAATAACATAATCCTTACAATTGATATTGAAAAAGAGTTGTTATATTACATGAAATGTAAATTATGACGTGATACGTATTAACCTGAAATGACAAAAGTTTTTTCTCCTGGGTTGGCAAAAAAAGAAAAAAAGAAACATTTACGAATTGATTGTTGCTTGGAAACTTAACCTAACCTAAGGATTATAAACAGTACCGCCAAACTGGCCACAACTGGCAAATTAAAACAAACCAAATAATAAAAGACTGAAACTAAACTATAGGATGAGGACAACTCGTCCTTCCTCTGGCTTTCCGAGAAAGATTTACCGGCCTTGCCAGCAGGGTCATGTCGACCTTTGTTCAGAATAATACATACATACAAAAGAAATATAATTAAAATTACAATGTAAACAGTTCTATTCAATTACAGACAGCAAGCAAGATAATAACATTCAACTATTAGTAATAACACAATCATATTTACGAACATGCTTTATAGCAAATAATATATTCAGAGATTTTCTGCGTATATAAAATTCTTACTGTATTACAAGATACATATATCATTACTCATATTACTCATATTATAAACTCATTTACTTAATTCTACAGAATAATCAGTATTTGATTAACATTGAACAATTCTGGCTTCTATACCTAATCAAACAGATTTTTACTAATATAAATGTATTTACTGATCTCTTAAAATAAAATATTCATATGTACTAGTATTGAAGTAGTATTGAAGTTCATAATTATATTTACATACACTGCTAAGTACGTCGTTATCGAAAATGTGATAGAACGTACAAAATTGGGGGCTGCGTATTGTGCCCATGATCATGTGCGATGAAAAACATGTGTTTAACAATTAGTTCGTGTCCAGCTGTTCGATTCGACCACCTATGTCTACAAGTATCTCCTCCGGTATGCATCATCATATTACGCAGAGAAAACAACTGCCCAGAGATCTGTTATACCTATCGACCAGTCATCAAGTCAATTACAATTATTATTATCACTACACAGGCTATATATATTATAAATAAGAGGTATGTTAAAAAGCTAATGCTAAAAAATACATTTGACACTATAGTTCTTTATCAAAAATGTAAAATAATGTAACAACTAGAAACAATAATAAAGTAGTAAAAGCTATCTCGTAAAAACTAAATGTAAAAATTAAAAATTAAGATGACTTCAAAATCAAAAAGGGGGAGAAAAAATTAAGAAATTTTAACGCACAAACAATTTTAAAAAGAACTTTTGTAAAAAT